CTAAAACACCAAAAGTAATTGCAACAAAAGCCAAAATAGACAAATGGGATCTAATTCAACTAAAGAGCTTCTGCATGGCAAAAGAAACTACCATCAAAGTGAACAGGCAACCTACAGAATGGGAGAAAATTTTTATAATCTACCCATCTGACAAAGGGCTAATATCCAGACTCTACAAAGAACTTAAACAAACTTACAAGAAAAAAATCAAACAACCCCATCAAAGAGTTGTCAAAGGATATGAACAGACACTTCTCAAAAGAAGACGCTCACCATCACTGGCCATCAGGGAAATGCAAATCAAAACCACAGTGAGATACCATCTCACAACAGTTAGAATGGTGATCATTAAAAAGTCAGGAAACAACAGGTTCTGGAGAGGATGTGGAGAAATAGGAACACTTTTGCACTGTTGGTGGGAGTGTAAACTAGTTCAACCATTGTGGAAGACAGTGGGGGATTCCTCAAGGATCTAGAACTAGAAATACCATTTGACCCAGTGATCCCATTACTGGGTATATACCCAAAGGATTATAAGTCATAAAATACTATAAAGACACATGCACACGTATGTTTATTGTGGCACTATTCACAATAGCAAAGCTTGGAACCAATCCAAATGTCCATCAATGATAGACTGGATTAAGAAAATGTGGCACATATACACCATGGACTACTATGCAGCCATAAAAATGAATGAGTTCATGTCCTTTGTAGGGACATGGATGAAGCTGGAAACCATCATTCTGAGCATACTATTGCAAGGACAGAAAACCAGATACTGCATGTTCTCACTCATAGGTGGGAATTGAACAATGAGAACACTTGGACACAGGGTGGGGAACATCACACACTGGGACCTGTCATGGGGTTGGGGGAGGGGGAAGGGATAGCATCAGGAGGAATACCTAATGTAAACGACGAGTTAATGGGTGCAGCACATCAACATGGCACATGTATACATATGTAACAAACCTGCACGTTGTGCACATGTACCCTAGAACTTAAGTATAACAACGACAAAAAATAAAGCCTTTTATGCCCCCCCCAAAAATGTTTTGAAAATAAAATTCAGTCTTGCCTTTCTTTTATCATTTTAAAGACCTTATTTCTAGTTGATGTTCCTATTGATTTGAAAGAACTTTGCAAATAAACTCTAAGTAACTGGTAAAGGAGATGAGTAAATTACAATACATTTCAGGATTTCAAACACTTTCATTTCAAATTCTTCACTGAACTGCCCGTTTTATTTATATGTAGTTATCTAATCGTGGGGTAGAAAAGTTCTTTCTTTTTTGTTTTGTTTTATTTTGAAATAGAGTCTCGCTGTGTTGCCCAGGCTGGAGTGCAGTGGCGCTATCTCGGCTCACTGCAAGCTCCTCCTCTGGGCTTCACGCCATTCCCCTGCCTGAGCAGCCCCAGTAGCTGGGACTATAGGCGCCCGCCACCACGCCCGGCTAATTGTTTGTATTTTTAATAGAAATGGGGTTTCACCGTGTTAGCCAGGGTGGTCTCAATCTCCTGACCTCCTGATCCGCCTGCCTCAGCCTCCCAAAGTGCTGGGATTACAGGTGTGAGCCATCGCGCCCGGCGGAAAAGTTCTTTCTAAAGATGTGTACAAAGGCAAAATCTCTGAAAGAAAAAAGAGAAAAATAGGAAAATTGGGTGGTAAATATTAAACTGCAGGAAGTTTATGTACCAAATATCACAAATAGCTAATGTCCTCATTATATAAGGAGACTCTCTTTATATACTATAAATACAAATTATAATATAATTATGAATGACCAATACATTTGTTAAAAGATTTTTGATACCCAACTAGAAACAGGAAAATAGTATTTTATTAGCTATTGCATGTAAAAATGAAATGGAATGGTCATCCCATGCATGATAGTGCCTGTGAAGAAGGGGGAATCCCAGTCTCCTGAGTCCAGTTGTGAAAAATATCTATGGGGCGGACACTTAGGCATACTTCAAAGCATCTATATCTTTTCCCCTAGTAATTCTCCTTCTAGAAATATGTACTAGAAAATAATTTTAAACTGGACAAAGATATACATATAAGATATTCATTACAACTTTATTTCTAATAGCAAAAAGTATAAATGAGTTGATGGTATAATAATTATAGGTTTATTAAATATATTTTGATATAAGGAAATATGCCATCACTTAAAAATAGTTAATGCTACAAGAAAAATGTTAATGTTATTTATGATATTCAACTTTTTGGTATAATATTATATTTTCTACAGCTTAGTGCAGATTGCATTTTTGTTTAAAAGAAAATATGACTAAGCATAGAAAAAATACTACACACACACACACACACCCCAAAATGTTAATAGTTGTCTGCTGTGAGGTGATATCATGAATGACTTTAAAAAATATTTTTCTCTGTGCATTTCTGTATTCTTATATTTCTTTTAAAATTTACATGTATTACTTTATTTTGAAAAACTTTTACTTTAAAAATGAAAAATAACCTTCTTCTTGTTTTATCTATTTCTTCTGTTTGTTAACATGAAGCGTTTTTGCATTTCTTCAAGGTTGTATTTTCACTCTTCAAGTTCGCACTGAGAAGGATGGCCATTTCAGAGGACTGGGAAATCCCGAAGGCCACCCAAATGCTGGACGCAGTGTTGGCCAGTGTCATGCTTCTCCCTGCAGTTTAATGAAATGTGGCAACGGTGGGACATGCATAGAGAGTGGAACTAGTGTTTAGTAAGTATAACGTTATTAGGAATGAAAGTAGCAGGTTGTTTGTGCTCTAACTGGTACTCCACTCTAACTGGCATTCCACTTGTACAAACTAGGAACACAAACAGATGCACGTATTTAAAATGTTCTTATGTAGACTTGTTACATGATGGGAGGACAGGTGAAGGCAACTACAAATAGGATCAGCACAGCATTTATGCCATCTTAGTTCTGTTAAACAATGAGAATGAATCACTACATCTCATTCCAGGCACCATGAAAAATATCACTTAAATCCATACTATTGAGAGAGTAGACAGAAATGTTAACCACACAAAGGCTTACACATTGGGATTTGCTTTCATATGTAGGTTTGAGCCGCTTTATAAAGGGCAATAGTAAAGCTACACAATTTGACTTCTGAACTACTTTAGTATGAAGCCAACATCGACCCATTGAGTGAGAAGGAAAAAAGAAAGGAGAATGTTTTTATATTAATTACTCCTTTTGCTGAGCATCTCATCTATGCAAAAGTAGTATATGAGGGGTTCTGGGAATATGCTAATAGAAAGTGGAAGTAAGCACTCTTATTCAATTTCTTACACTCTAGCTACTCATAAATTTCTTATGTCTCATACATGTATAAGACAGCTAAAGAGAGATTTGTCAAAATGCTCCCTACAGGATGCATGAGAAGATGTAATGCACTTCACCAGGAACACTGGCTCCCTGAAAAGCAGCTGGGAAAGTGGAGTGTCAGAGTTTCTCCTGAAGGACAGAGTCTACCATGAAGAAAGTGTAGTTTTTTTTTTTTTTTTTGAGACGGAGTCTGGCTCTGTCGCCCAGGCTGGAGTGCAGTGGCCGGATCTCAGCTCACTGCGTCAGCCGCCTCCCTCGCCGGGCTAGGTTTTTGTATTTTTAGTAGAGACGGGGTTTTCACCGTGTTAGCCAGGATAGTCTCGATCTCCTGACCTCGTGATCCGCCCTCGGCCTCCCAAAGTGCTGGGATTACAGGCTTGAGCCACCGCGCCCGGCCGAAAGTGTAGTTTTAAAAGACATGAGTGAATCTCTTATTCACCCTAAACAAATTCCTTCCACCTCCTCGCTAGAAAATGATCAAAAGCAAAGCTCAAATAACTGATAGTCACAGTAAAATTTTTTGGGAAAAAAAAATGTATAGTTTGACTCAGCCCATGGAATTACTGAGGACAAAATCTAAGGCTTGGGATGCCACCATCACAGAGCAATAATTTTTGGCATTAGCTTTACCATTATAATTTTATCATTCCTTCTCTACAATTTTTAATGAAACCTTTAGCTTGCTTTACAAAGTATGCACTCTAATTTGCTCTACAACTAAATTTAATTAGGAGTACACGTTTACTTCACTTTATCTAAAGAGTTGTAGTCATTCTTCAGGTGTTACTACTACTAAATATTTTTGTTATTTTTTGACGTGATAATAAACAGGGATCTAGAAAGTAGCAGTAGGAAAGCATATGAAGTTGAAGGTGAAGGTGGGGAATCCATCACCACCCTACGTTATTCCATGTGGACCAAACAGCCTAACAGTTTGAACCTAAGAACCATATATATGTATCTTAGAATATATAGTACCAAGTATAGATAGGTACTTAGAACCATTTGCAGATTATTTTGATTAATATAGAAATTCTATTGAGTTCCGATATTAAACATAATACCTTACAATTGCACAGGACTTTGTGGGTAACAAAGCATTTTTTATATATTATTTCCATTGCTCCTCACTAAAACCCTCTAAATTACTCAAGGCCAGTATCCTAATTCCAATTTTATACAGGGAAAATAAGCCCCAGAGACTGTGAGTAATTCGAGAGGATGTATGAGCACCCTGTGAGTAGTACAGCAGGACTCAAATTCAGATCTTCCATTTCCTGGGTCAAGATTCTCTCTAGAATCTAAATAGCAAGAAATGAACTTAAAAGCAGTGAATAATTTTAATGAGGTAACAAAAGTGTTAAGTAGCCATTTACTGATTGTAACCTGTTCACCTTAATTTTTTAAAATGACGTTGAAATTGTCTTCAATTGGCACTTTGTATATTCTCCAAATTGAAAATACCTTTCTTCATAACACATATCCTGGGAATTTCATAGATTGCCGTGTGGGTGGAAAACAGTATCTCAAACATGAGGGCCTAAATTTGAATAACAAATAGACTTAAGCGGTAATGTACAGGGGGAATGATACATCTGACAAATTTCCTTACAGGATTCTAAAAATTTTTCTTATCAAAATTGTGACCAGTTTTGGGATTCTCTTATTGACTTAATTACAAAATAATTACTAACTATAAAGATTTACTGCAGAGCCAGAAGTAGCTCTTGTGACCAACATTTAATAACATTAAATTTACAGATCCCCGAACTTAAAACAGGTGAATTTTATGGTAAGTAAATTACACCTCAATAAACTGTTCAAAAATATTAAGTCTCCCATTCATAGACATTCAGATCCAGTGGCAGCAGCAGTTTAAAGAATTTTATTCCTTTTGATAGTTTTAAACAATCCTTTTCTAATCTCAGTATAAGAATACCTCCTTTAAAGAAAGAAAATATTGTGCTTTGTAATATACTTTTCAAAAGTGTTTAATAAGTTTATTTCTGTCCTTGTCCTAGTTACAGATTCTTAATTTTATATGGCTCTAAACTTTATTTTTCAACTGAAGCAGGGTAATATTAAATTGAATTTCTAGGTAACCTTATAGACAGCTCAAAGCTAAAGTTTCATCTTTTCCTGAAAAATAACTAACACACCTTTTGAAATATTTCTTAAATGCTCAAGAGGCAAGTACCAACACAGAAGCACCAATTTTATGGTGCTTAGAATCAATTGTAAAAGCAAAACCTCGAAGCTGATCAAAGTGTCTTAACAATGAACAGTTTAATGTTATAAATTTAAAACAACTCAAAATGCTCCCGTTAGCTCCCTTCCTCTTAGCTGGGATGGGAGGCATTGTTTGGGTACATAAGGGAAAGTCTTATTCCAAGCAAGGAGTGAGGTGGGGCCCGATAAGTTTTCCAGTATGTTCAGGGCCCTGGTAAAGTGATGAAAACCCTTCTCTCCTGCTCCGAGTTCATCACCACACACAGATCCATCTGTGTTCTAATGGAATTTCTCAAATGTGAGTATCATAAAGTAGAGTTCATTTCAGGCCTTTATGCTCCTGGGATGAGTTCTGATACAACAAATAAATGGAAAACTATTTCTGTTCTTAGTAGCCAAGGATAAAAAAGAAAAAAGGTTACATCAAAATGAAAGTTTTAAGTAAAAAAAAAAAAAATGGGTTTAGTTCTTAGTCCTATGTGTGTATGTGCTTGGTGTCTTTTTTTTTTTTTTTTTTTTTGACATAAATAAAATGCTTTAATGAAATGGCTGATTCCAAACCAAAAATGTTTAATGAGAAGAAAGATATTATTTTACATTTTTGCCAATCTCTTCCACCATGTCTAGCTTAATAGGTGTTTTTAAGCAAGTTTTATTTTATTTAAGTTGTACTTTTTTCCTTTATTTTCTTAATTGACAAATAAAAATTGGATATATTTATCATGTAGAACATTGTGTTTCAAAATATGTATACATCATGGAATGGCTCAAATGAGCTAATTAACATATGCATTACCTCACATATTTATAATTTTTTCTGACTGGAATATTTAAAATCTACTCTCAGCAATTTTCAAAATACAAGACGTTGCTACTAACCATAGTCACCATGTTGTACAGTAACCTGTGACTGAGGACAATATACAGATGTGTCCTTTTAAGGAAAACACAGTGTAGCCCTGGCACCATGGCTCACACCTGTAATTCCAGCACTTTGGGAGGCCGAGATGCGTGGATCACCTGAGGTCAGGAGTTCGGGACCAGCCTGGTTGACATGGCAAAACCCCATCTCTACTAAAAATACAAAAATTAGCCAGTATGGTGGTGGGTGCCTATAATCCCAGCTACTTGGGGGGCTAAGGCAGGAGAATCACTTGAACCTGGGAGGCAGAGAGTGCAGAGAACTGAGGTCTCAACACTGTACTCCCGCCTGGACGACAAGAGGGAAACTCCATCTAAAACAAAAAGAAAAGCAGTGTAGGGAAAACAAAGTTACAAAAACAAGTTAGATGTTAAAATGAGTGGCTCAGACAATAAGTACAATAGGAGTTAGAAGAATGTGGTTGTAAAAATGTAAAATGCACCAAGGATTAATATTAAGTTCATAAATGAGGCTTATTTACAACATAAATCTATTAGTGATCACAAAATCTCATTGATTCAGGATTTCCTAATTATTTTTTGTCTTAGAACTGCCTTTGAGCATTAGGTTAAAGCTAAAAACCCTTTCCCCTAAAAACTGAACATACTTGGAACACAAAAATGTGCTTATCATTTTAGAGGTTTACAAACCCCTAGAACCCAATAATAGGTTCTCTAAGGTCTGCCAAAGTTCCCAAATTAAGCATCCTTTGCCCAGACTGTCTTCTTTTATATATTTGTCCAACAATGCTTAATTCAGTCTTCTATTACTCCTCAGCTGGACATGTAATTGTTTTCCAACTGGTGACCTGTTCCCTAAACACTCCTAACCTTAATCCAGATCTTCCTAAAATCCTCTTTGCTCTTAATCATTTTCCTGCTCAAAATGTTTCCTGGCTTTCCATTGCCAATGCAGCAAAATGTAAATTTTTAATCTGTTGTCAAGCTATGTATGACTGTTATCAACCCGCCTCTTCCTGTTATTCTTTTTCTCTCTGCATAGCAAACAAATTAATTGTACTACTCTATCCCACCTTCCAAGAAACACTCTCTCCTTACCAAGCAATCAGTTGTGTTTCTTGTGAAGCTATGGCCAGCTTGGTAACTCATTACCTTGTACTAGTTCTCCTTTTTTCCTCCTCCCTTTGTTTCTCTCTCACTGTTACTTCCTTGAAAGAGTATTCCTTACTTCCTTGGAATTGCCCTTAACTCTGTCTTCTAGAGATTCCAATTTTAGATAGATAATTTTTCTCACCTATGAGGTTGGCAAAAAGCTAAAAATATGATTAATCTAGTAGTGAGGCTATAGAGAAGCAGACACTATTATGTATTAGAGCAACCTAATTTCTCTATTTGTTAAAACAAAGACTGGAAACTGCTCAAATGTTCATCACTAGGTATCTGGTTGAAAAAGCTAAGGAATGTTTATGTAATGGAGGACTTCATATATATACATATATATATATATATATATAGACCTTTTATATGTTGCTATGGAGTGATCCTCAGGACTTATTAAGTGAAAAAAGGGTAAAGAAACATGTAAGAAAAGGGGATAATAGATATAAACAGATATAAATACATAGATATAGATACACATACAAATAGGCTTATATTTTTCTAAGAAAAAAATGCAAGATTACACATACACAATTTATAAATGGTTATCTATAGGGTGAGGGAGAAAACAAGAAGTAGTAAAAGGATAAAAGCTAGACTTTCTAACTATAATTTGTTTTTAGTTTTTATTTAGAACCAGGTAAAATGTTTCACATGGTAAATCAAAAAAGAAAAAGACCACTCTTTGAATACTGAAGGAAAATAAGGAAATGAATAAATTCAACTGTACTTCAAGTTGGTAGCATAACCAAGCAGAAAAGATTTAATTCAATTGATCTTAAAACACAATATGTTTACTACACAGTGGATTATGGCCTAAAACAAAAAGAACCATAAAGATATTCTATTGCATCCTGTAGTCTTGATGTTAGTGGTAACATTGATATTGTTATTTTAAAACTATATATAAAAATACACAAATAGCATTATATTTATATAACAGATAAATATACATAAACCAAATGAACAATTAATATTAATCATTAGGAACTAGAATTTTCAGCATGAAAGAGATCTAGGCATAAAATCAAAGAAGTAAAAATCATTCTACTCCTTAATATGAATTGGAATTAATGTATGAACACATTACTTAACTTTCTATTCAGGAGGCTGAAGAGGGAGAATCACTTGAACCCGGGAGGAAGAAGCTGCAGTGACCCGAGATTGCACCATTGCACTCCAGCCTGGGCGACAGAGCAAGACTCCATCCCAAAAAAAAAAATCTTTCTTTTTAAAAAAATTTTCCCAGCTATATCCACTAAAAAGATTTAGAAACAATAACTCAGTATCAATGAACGCCTCTAGTGCCAAAATTGTCATCTCCAAATACCATTTTCCACTAAAATGAACCAAGACTTCTTGGAGACTTTTACACTCAGCTCTAGGAGAGAAAATATATTATATAAGCCTAGATATCTTTTTAATGCCTGAAAGCAAGAATGTTAACAAAGACAACTATGGTTATATTAAAAGACAACAGGAGCCAACTTAAAGAGACTCCCACTGGCCTAAGATGAGACATTTTCAGAAAATTATCTTTCCATAGTCAGAAAATATGAAAAACTTATTTGAAGAGCATAGATTCTAAAATAAGCTCTCATTTTTTTTGTTTCTTTATTATTTAAGCAGCTGGAAAATAAGAGTCAGAGGTAAGAATTCACTGTGGATTTTCATCAAGCCTCCCTACACTGTGGCTTAAGAGTAAACTCTTTTCTCTCATGGTCTTTTTATAGCTCAGATGTCAGTTACTTTCTACCAGACCCTTGACATCTACATAAATTGTGAAGATTCCAAAAGGAAGGTTTATGTTCTCAAGTCGTCTCTAGCTCAACAGTCTTTCACCCATAGTGACTATTCCATATCACAGATGCCTAAAAGCTATAATCAACTTCTTTAATTTCTATCAAATTAACAAAGCCATTTCCACTTTTAGAACAGATTGTTTAGATTGGTGCAGGGGGGTGGAGAGAGGTGACAATGTTGAAGGAAAAAAGTTTATATCATGGCCACCTAAACAACTTCCAACTTGTATTTTGGTCACCGCACCACTGCAGTAAATACATGGCAATTCCACCCATTTTTGTCTTCTGTCCTTTGCTTTGCTTTTTTCCAACTGAGTCTGTAGGTTAACCACAATTCCCTCCTGGTCTCAGGCAGAATAATTTATCATCGTATTTTGTAGTCCAGGCTCATGTGCATCCCAATGCAACCAGGTTTCACTGTCTACTCCAAGCAGCTCATGTAGTTTCCCAAAGACAGTTCTCTCCTTAATAGGAATTCTGATTCCAACTGTTAATATACTACAATGTTCAAGCCCTTACACCTGGAGAACTATAAAATAAAGCCTACAGACAACTGCCAGTATTTTCAATAGTACATAAAGAGTCATTTCGTCTCATCCTTCTTAAACTCTGTGAGGTATCACCAAGGACCTAGGTGAGTATCTCACCAGCAAAGAAACGAAGGCCATGGGGGAATGTCAGCAGGTGGAGTGATTATTATAGCAACCTGTCCTAGTAAGCATGTTGAGTTTCAATATGCCATCACATTCCAGTGTACGATGAGGTTCATTTGTTTTAGCACTTGATTGTATATTCTTCAAAGGCTCAAATTTTGAGCATGTCATTTAAAATCCAGCAAATTTTGGCAGATAAAATGTTATACATCATATCACACTTACCTTATTCTCCTAACTTGTTACTCAAATGGAAATAAGCCATAAAGGAAAGCAATCTTATATGAATTAGTCATCCACACAGGAGATGACCTGAGAAAATAATTCAGCTATGTTTCCCTTTTTATTTAAATAGCAGAGAAATAAGTTATATATGCAGAACTAGATTCCTTTAGGTCGTGTAATCACCCATTGCTAAATTACATGCATTTATTCTACTATTCATATGACTTTATCATCACACCATATAGATTTTGTGTCTGTGCTTTTGCTTATGCATAGAAAACCCACAAATCTATAACCAGAACTTTTTTACAGATCCAGCTCAAGGTAAATTTTCTCCAAGAACTTTCTTTTCCCGTTCTTATCTCAGCCTCAACATATAAAGAAGAATCTCTCTTATCCAAAGCATCAAAATCCATATTTGATAGGTAACCTGAAAAAGTAGGCTAAGCAGAGGTTATATTTTTCTGTATTAGCTTCTCATCTGTAATCTGAGGGCGAATAATAGTATTATTTTGTAGGTTTTATATGGTGATTAAACAAATTACTACATCTAAAGTACTTAAAATGGTGCCTGGCACTAAGGTAAAGCCCTAAGAAACTTTGAATATTATATTTTATATATATTTCATACAAATACATTATTCTAAATAAAGTAGCAAGTCCTCAGGGTGGGGAACAAGTCCATGTTTTCTATTTTGTACTCACCTTGGTAACGATGTACAATGTTGCTCTATATTCCCTCTTTGGTAATATTTAGTAAGTGAATGATATTTAACAAAAAATATTAAATCTTCTATTATCTCATTTTCAGTTAATTTTTTATATCCATGTTCATACTAAACTCTTACAGTCTTAGACTTGCCTAATTACAAGAAAATTAAATTCTTCATGTTGAATTTCTATAGTAATGAGGAAAAATTAACCCATAGAGGTTCTAAGCTATAAAATTGACAGTCAGAACTAAACAATATATCTGCAATTTAGGAATTCAAATCAGTTTCATTCTAAATGCACAGAAGTAAAATAATTAACTATATTAGTAAGAACACACTCTAATATTCATCTCTAGATTTACTATCATGATGAGCTGTTACATTTCCAAAGTGTTTAATATTTTATTCTCTGCTATCATCTGTTTATGTTTGGAGACAGAAGAACCCACAAATTTTTCCTTGTACTGACAATTAAGGATATGTAACACTTTTTGAATGGTCTTGAAATAAGAAAACAGTGCTCTGTATAGTGTCAATGATTCCTCAGTATAATTTAAGTAGTCTTAGCTATTGTATGCCGGGTGCATGTTTCCCAGCTCTTTGCCTGCTAGTCTATTTAATTAAATCTGCCTTATGTCCTGAACTATCATCAAATTTACAAGTCATGTCCCTAGATGCTTATAGAAAAAAAAAAAAAAAAAAGCTATTTTATAACCTACTCTTACCTCCAATGCAGTCTAGCTAAAAGTGGCTTTGTTTTTTCAACTTTTATTTTAGGTTCAGGATGTACATGTGCAGGTTTGTTACATAAGTGTGTGTTGCTGAGGTTTGGTGTACAAATAATTCCATCACCCAGATAGTGAGCATAGTACCCAATAGGTAGTTTTTCACCCCACATTGCCTCCCACCTTCCTACATCAAGTAGTCCCCAGTGCCTATCGTTCCCATTTGTTTGTGTCCATATGTACTCATTGTTTAGCTCCTACTTATAAATGAGAATATGCAGTATTTAGTTTTCTGTTCCTATGTTAGTTTGCATAAGATAATGGCCTCCAGCTGCATTCATGTTTCTACAAAGGACATGATTTCATTTTTTCAATGGCTGTGTAGTATTCCATGATGAATATGTACCACATTCTCTTTATCCAGTACCCTGTTGATGGGCATATAGGTTGATTCCATGTCTTTGCTATTGTGAATAGTGCTGCGGTTAACATACAGATGCATATGTCTTTTTCATAGAATGATTTATATTCCTTTGGGTGTATAGCCAGTAATGGGATTGCTGGGTTGAATGGTAGTTCTGTTTTAAGTTTTTTAAGAAATATCCACACTGCTTTTCACAGTGGCTGAAGTAATTTACATTCCCACTAGCAATGTTTAAGTGTGCCCTTTTCATTGCAACCTCACCAATGGCTGTCATTTTTTTTTTTTACTTTTTTATAATGGCCATTCTGATTGGTGTGAGTTGGTATCTCATTGTGGTTTTGGTTTGCATTTCTCTAACGATTAGTGATGTTGAGCATTACTTAATCTATTTGTTGGTTTCATGTATGTCTTCTTTTGAGAAGTGTCTGTTCATGTCATTTGCCCATTTTTTTAATGGGGTTATCTGTTTTCTGCTTGTTGAATTGTTTAAGTTCCTTATATATTCTAGACATTAGACCTTTGTTGTTGTGTAGTGTGTGAATATTTTCTCCCATTCGGTAGGTTGTCTGTTTACTCTATTGATAGTTTCTTTTGCTGTGCAGAAGCTCTTTGGTTTAATTAGGTCCCACTTGTCAATTTTTGCTTTTATGGAAATTGCTTCTGGGGACTTAGTCGTAAATTCTTTACCAAGCCCGATGTCTAGAATGGTATTTCCTAGGTTTTCTTCTAGGGTTTTTATAGGTTTAGGTCTTACATTTAAGTCTTTAGTCCATCTTGAGTTAATTTTCATAACATATACAGTGAAGGGAAGGGGTCTAGTTTCAATCTTCTGCATATGGCTAGCCAGTTATTCCAGCACCATTTATTGAATAGGAAGCCCTTTCCCCATTGCTTACCATTGACTTTGTTGAAGATCAGGTGCTTTTAGGTGTATGACTTTATTTCTAGGTTCTCTGTTCTGTCCATTGGTCTGTGTGTCTGTTTCTGTACCAGTGCCATGCTATTTTGATTACTGTAGGCTTGTAGTATAGTTTGAAGTTAGGTAGAGTGATGCCTCTGGCCTTGTGCTTTTTGCTTAGGATTGTTTCAGCTATTTAGCCTCTTTTTTGTTTCCATATGAATTTTAGAATATTTTTTTTAATTCTGTGAAAAATTATGTTGGTAGTTTATAGGAATAACATTGAATCTGTAAATTGCTTTGGTCAGTATATCCATTTTAACAATATTGATTCTTCCTTTTTATGAGCATGAAATCTTTTTTCATTTGTGTCATCTCTGATTTCCTTCATCAGTGTTTGGTAATTATCATTATAAAGATCTTTCACCTCCTTGGTTCCATGTTCCTAGGTACTTCATTCTTTTTGTGGCTATTGTAAATGGGATTTCATTCTTGCTTTTGTTCTCAGCTTGGACGTAATTGGTGTATAGGCATGCTACTGATTTTTGTACAGCGATTTTGTATTCTGAAATTTTACTGAAGTTATTTATAAGTTCTAGGAGCCTTTTGGCAGAGTCCATGGGATTTTCTCAGTATAGAATAATATCATCTGCAAGGAGAGATGACTTGAATTCCTCTCTTTCTATTTGGATATCTTTTCTTTCTTTCTCTTGCATGATTGCTGTGGCTAGCA